CTGATCTACTACTTCTAACACAATTTTACACACACGCACACACATACATACACACACATGCTCACACACACGCATATATATATATATATATATATATATTTACAGATATAGATACATATAATTTATGACATAATTAAATATTCTAACAAATAGAAAAGCAAATCTTTCGTGTACCTCGTTTGTACAGCCAGGCTCAGAGTGAAAATACAATTAAAGGAATGAATAGCAAGATATAAATTCATATGACCAAAAACCATGAATGCATATACATAAATTGTGATAATATAGACAAATTATGATAGCACGAATATATATGATATTGATATATACGTACCGAAATAATGTATCATCCATAAAGATACACGAATCGAATAATGGATATATCAGTTAATTATGATAATATGAAAACATATGCTAATGATTGCAAGAACAAATGATGAAGATAAATAACTAAACGAATGAAATAATTATATGAATAATTAATTAATAACATGAATAACAACATGAAAAAAAGAATAACAACGATGTTGATAACGTTAATAATAACCATAATAATAATAGCAATAATAATAATAATAATAAACAAAAAGGCAAAAAGGAAAGCTCGCATTAATGACACGTGACCGTTCCGCGCATGTGCAAAGCAATTACGTTTTTGGCACGTTGTATTTGTTTGACGGAGATATGATGAGGAGTTCATGATGGTGATGGCGATGATGATGATGATGACGATGATGATGATGATGATGAAGAAGAAAAAGAAGAAAATAATTATGGGGATGGTGATGATGATGGTGATGATGATGACAATGAAGAAAAAGAAGATGATGATAATGTTGATGGTGATGATGGTGATGTTAATGGAGATGGTGATGAAAATAGTGATGATGATGATAGTGGTGATGCAAATGATGAAGAGGACAATGATGATGATGATGACGACAATGTTGATGACGATGAAGAAGAAGAAGAAAATAATTATGGGGATGGTGATGATGATGACAATGAAGAAGAAGAAGATGATGATAATGATGATGGTGATGATGGTGATGTTAATGGAGATGGTGATGAAAATAGTGATGATGATGATAGTGGTGATGCAAATGATGAAGAGGCAATGATGATGATGACGACAATGTTTATCTATGAAGAGTTGTGACGATTAATGCATTGGGAATATTACATATAAGCTTGCTCGTTTGATTTAGGTGAAATAAGAGGATATGACGTCATTATTGATAGACACAAACTTATACACACACACACACACAGAAAGAGATAAAGAGAGAGAAAGAGAGAGGAGAGAGAACGTAAATAAGCATCTATTTACTTTGGTGACTTGCAGACTGGAGATTAATTTTGTTTTGTCATTTTATCGTTTTGCACGCAAGCTCCCAGGATTCAACAGCGCTGAATTTTTAAAGAGGGTATAAATAACGTGGAGAAAAAAAATACTTTTTGGGAGAAATATTTTTTATACAAAATTATAAAATATTGAGAAAAAATATATTAAAATAATTATGCTAAGCGTTAAATTTATTAAAGTGGCAGTGAAAAAGAGAGGAGAACAGAAAAAAGTGGCCGAAAAAAAGTTTGAATGAATGAATGAATGAATGAATGAATGAATGAACGAACGAACGAACGAACGAACGAATGAATGACTGAAACGAAATGCGGTGTGTGCCCATAGCAGAACGTTGATTTGTGGTTGGATTCCACTCCTACTTACTTCTTCAAATTTTTTTTTCTCTTACCTTCTCTCATTCTTTTCTTCTTCTGTAGTGAATGAATGAAATGATTGACGGAAAGGCTGTAAAGAAATGAATGAATGAATGAATGGATGGACCAACGTAACATAAATATGTGCTTATATCTACCGGCGATCTTTACATGATTAAGTGGGAAGACGTATGTTAAAGGTATGTATGTATATATATATATTATTTATGTTAAATTAATAATGTGTGTGTGTGTGTGTGTGTGTGGTGTGTGTGTGTGTGTGTGTGTGTGTGTGTGTGGCGTCTGATATTTACCCTAAGCTGCTGTGGATAATGATAAATATAAAAAGACTTACAAGCAGGTAGCAGTATCTAAAAGGAAGGAATATATAACTTTCTAGTGAATATTTATTTATTAATATGCATATATGTGTGTTTGTTTTTGTGTTTGTGCGTGTTTATGTACGTGTATATACGTCTGTGTGCGTGCGTGTGTGTGAGGAAAAAGTAGGAAAAGAAAAGTAAATAGGAGATAAGAAAACACACTGGATAGATTCGTGGAGAATGCATAAGTAAGCAGTCTTACAAAGTTAAAAGAAAAAATAAAAAGATAAAAAAAAATTAGAGAAAAAGAGAGAGCGAGAGAGAGAAAGAAAGAGAAAATAAAAGACAGATCAATAGAACAATAATGATATGAAGATGATAAAATGCAAGTTTGAATTCAAACAATAAATAATGATTAAATTAAAGAATTGAACTATAGAATGGAATTTTTTAACATAACAATTGCCATTTATTTCTGAAAAATCGACATAAGACAAAAATAAAATGGGCTGAAAGACGAAATAAAGTGGAGATAAAATGAATAAAACGAAATTATAACATAGAAAAATTATAGATAATAATAAAGTGATGATATATGATTAAAATTAAATTAAAATGAATAAAAATAATAAACCATAATAAAGAAATAAAAATGAATAAAATGAAGTTAGAGAATATAAAAAAGATGAATTTTTTGCGGTGGGAGACATTTATTCAGCGATATATTTCCTCTGTCCAGTCATTAATTTTAGAAGAACAATTTGTTACGAAAGGAAAAAAACATGTTTTTTTTCATTATCGTTTGTCTTGTGACTATTGTTGATTCAAATGCATGTTGTTGTCTTAAAATGGTTCTTCGAATTGATTAATAATAATGATGATGATGATGACAAATCATAAACGAACATGCATGCATACATACATGCATGCATACATACATGCATGCATGCATACATACATGCATGCATACATACATGCATGCATACATACATGCATGCATACATACATACATACAAACAAACAAATATACATACAAACGTACATACACATACAAAAAAACATACAAACACAGAGATAAAAAAAATGCGAACCCTATCTGCGATGCTTGCCAATGAATGCAATTGAAATTATTTAACGGCAAAATATTCATTGACACCTACTAAACAAGCCAAAATATACACTTGTATACAATTATATGTATGTATGTATGAATGTATGTATGTATGAGTGTGTGTGTGTGTATGTATGTATGTATGTATGTGTGTATGTATGTATTTATGTATGTATGTACGTATGTATGTACGTATGTTTGTATATGTTTGTATCTTTCGTGCACTGCATCTAAAATGAAAGCTTGGCACGTTATATCCTAATTAATCGATCAGATAGTGTTCGTATTTTGCATGTGTTTGTTGATTGTGTGTGTGTGCGTGTATGTGTGTGTGTTTGTGTATAAGTGTGTGTACGTGTGTAAGTGTATATGTATACATTCATGTGATCCTGTATTAAAAAATGTGCGTGTATGAATTTGTAATTGTAGTTGTATCAGTAGCTGTAATGTAGCTGGCACACATGTTAAACAAAAAAAAACACAATTCATGTAACTTCAACAAAGAACAACATGACTACAATACTCTCATAGGTGTGAAAAATATAAAATAAGGAAGGTGCGGAAAATAACGAATGGCAAGATAATAAGCAGGATAGTCAGAAGATTTTTCAAAAGAAGCACGAAGTTGCAGGCGAAATGCATGCAAACAGCGTAATAATATTTAAAAAATGTTTGTTTGTTTGTTTGTTTGTTTGTTTGTTTGTTTGTGTATGTATGTATGTATTATTATTATTATTATTATTATTATTACGGAAATTTATATACAGCGCTTTTTTATTGTTGAATCTCAAAAGCGCTACTAAATCATAGACAAATAAGACGGACATTCATTGTGCAAATAAATAAGTTTTAATTTGACTTCGAAATTGTAAATATGATAGGTTAGGGTCACGTAAGTATGGAGGTAAACCATTCCAAACAATCGGGCCAAGAACCGCAAAGTTGCGGGAACCCGTCACCAACTTTGTGGTCGGAATAAAAAATAAATTGCGCTCGGTTGATCGGAAGGAATATTTTGAAAAATGAGATGTATGTATGTATGTATGTATGTATGTATGTATGTATGTATGTATGTATGTATGTATGTATGTATGTATGTATGTATGTATGTATGTATGTATGTATGTATGTATGTATGAACCCATAATTGATTAGAACTATATGAAAGTAATAATCATATCCGGGTTCAGCTTTAATCTATGTTAAACGCTTCGCACAGACAGGTATTTTAACGCTCCATTCAAAATACAGAAAGAATTATATTTTTGAAGTAAAATAGAAAAGGATTGCTTTACATAACTCTTATCTAATGGGTCACCCGATTCTTCTACAATCCTGCTACAGAGTTCATTCAGAAAACTCTGAGTCTGAGCATCGGTTGGACCAAAGATCTCAATGCAGACTGGCTGAAAAATTTTGCTTTCTGCAAGAGCCGCATATTTTGAATTTTTAAAGTCTGCGGCTCTTAAGGCAGCGGCACCCGCCTTCTGTGAGGTAAGATTAATGTACCTTTCAGCCATGGTGTGAGGGAACGTAACATCCCAAGCAAGGGAACGTCCCTGCGCCCATGGTGAAATAGTATATCCATCGACCCGCTACCTTCCTCCATAAGACCCGTGGGTTCTTTAATTGTGGGTATGTTTGCCCTCTGAAAGCACCTGACGAAAAAGTTGTTCATGGCCGAGTGTCGAGCCTGTCTACCAGGGCCTAATCGACACGAAAGACCATGGTAGCCCAGGGGTTCAACATTGGCCCCACATAAACAAACATACTCGGTTAAAATGGGTAAACCGAGTCTCAGTCCCAAACTGACACGAACACAAGAGTCGTCCAGCCTGGTACCACAGGCGGAATTTGGGACCGCCTTCAACCAAGATGATCCCAACTTACTTTTTACAGCCATTATCCTGGCTTTATCAAAGTTTGATTGGTTCAAATCCAGCAGCTTAGCAACTGAGCTGCTGATAAATGGAGCGTTCCACTCCTTTTGAGAACGGGTTTCGATACAAATCCCCGCTCCATGGACGGTCCGGAACCCATCAAAAACTTGGGTTCTGAAATTGTCGGAATATATTTTATCCCTGGGCAACAACAAATTTTGGAGAGGAACCGTGGCAGCAGCAGAAGCCAAGAAGGCAGAAGGTGCTAAATCCACCACGGTACCTAAACCTAAGCCACCAACCGTATATATCTATGTATGTATGTATGTATGTATGTATGTATGTATGTATGTATGTATGTATGTATGTATGTATGTATGTATGTATGTATGTATGTATGTATGTATGTATGTATGTATGTATGTATGTATGTATGTATGTATGTATGTATGTATGTATGTATGTATGTATGTATGTATGTATGTATGTATGTATGTATGTATGTATGCTTTAAATTTCTAATTATTATATTGATTTCTTGATTGAGGAATTGGTTGATTGCTTTATTGATTGATCTCATTGGAAAAGTCGCATCTAATTTACTCACTTGAAAAAATCCACAGACATCAGTATATAGTTTTTATATATTTATTTACTGTGAGATCTACTGTTCGTGTCGTTCTATATGTTGCTTAAATATATAGATAACTATGTAATGTCTATCCCGTGTTTTTCTGGATAGATACCAAACATTGATATATATAAACCGTGAACCATCGTACTAACAACTAACACCTGTTTTGCTAACATAGTTGAGTTCGTTAATTTACTAACAACTAACATCTAACATGCCTCTCATAGATCATTTGGGGAAAATTTTTATTATTTGCTGAAAAACTTTTGTACGAACATAGAACATTTCTGTTTAGGTGGCCATACTAGATGAATTTTTTATAAATTCTATTATGGTCATCCTGCTTTCTTTTAATTTTTAATTTTGAGAAGCAAATAAAATTTCGTTTCGTTTCATTTCGTATGCATGTATGTATGTATGTATGTGTGTATGTATGTTAAAACCAAATCAGTGATGAGTGACACTAAACAGTCAAACATCTGAATAAAACCGGTTAACAATTGTGTGTATGTTTTTATGTATGTATGTATGCATGTTTGTATGGTTGTTTGTCTCGGTGTTAATGCTTAGCCATCTCTTCCTAATAAACAATAGCTTACAAGCAAAACACAAACTAAAAATATGAAAGTTTAACCAAAAATTCTCTACAAAAAGTGGCAAATACTCATAAACAATGACTACGTAACGCATAGAGTATGAAATAATCTTCATTCTGCGTTATAAATTTTCAATACTTTGGACAACACAGACAACAGTAACACTAGCTTAAACAACAACAACACAAACAACGACAGTAATCACATAACAACACANACGAGCAACAACACAACACAGGCATCTTCAGGCAAACAGACACCATCACAGACACATTCAAGCCAACATTAATGCAATGTAAACACCACACAAAACCGTATTACTATATTTATATTTTTGCTCAACACACGCAGTCACNGTTCACACACACAACTTCAAACACGCACATACGATGCTTAATACATACATACTTACTTAGGCGTAAAAAATATACAAAGGATATGTATATTTACGAATACAAAATCGTAATCAAAAGAATACGGAGAAGTGTCTCGATGAGGAAACGCACATGTGTGTATACATTTGCACGCACACACGCACGCGTCCAAACGCAAACACAATACAAACACAACGTACACACAATAATGCACACGCGTCAACATAAGCAAACATATAAATTCATTGACACATACATATGTGCAAACAACGACAAATGCAAAAAAAACTTAATTGGAATAATAATAATGCCACACATATACACACACGTTCACACACACACACACACGCATTCACACACACGCATACACACACACGCATACACACACGCGCGCACACACGCATACACACACACGCAAAGAAAGGAACTTGAATACACAGGCTCATTTGAGATTGAGAGCGTTATTGAAAGCGGGCACTGTGCGATAGCGATAAAACATCATTAAAGTATTGCAAGCAGCATTCGATACTGCATGGAGGGAGGTGATTAGTATTGCTCCTGCCAGCCTGCCTGCTCGATGTGAATGGGACTGCTCCGGATTGCATGCGATCCCATCAGCTGGAGTGGGATGGACGGATGGAGAGATGAATAAATAAATAAATAAATAAATAAACAAATAAACAAATGGACATTTGTGCGGAAACATGAAATGACAAATGGATGAATGGAAGAATGAGTGCATGTAAAAATGGAAGAATGTATGAATGAGTGAATGCAGCAGGCATAAATGGATGAATGATGCATGAAAAGAGACACAAAAACGCGTGGTAATGATATTTATACTTTCACGTGCAAATTGAGAAACAACTGAATAAAAAAAAATAAATAGGAGTAAAAAAATTAAAACGAAAAATTTGTGAAAGAGCGAGTGAGCAAACAAATATGTGATTGGATTAGGCCGGATTGATGTGTGAGTCTGATAAAGTTGAAAGAATAAATATATGATTGAATAAAAGGAAGGATGAAATTCGGAATGAATGAATGAATGAACGAACGAACGAATGAATGAGTAAGTGAATGAATAACCTGGGATGAATAAAAGAAGAAATAAAAATTGAATTGGGTAATGTTAGATGTAGCAGCATAAAATTATTTCCTCAAACTAGACGAGTGGATGAAAGCTATGGAAACATCAATTAGGTTAAAAACATGTTACTACACACATGCGTTGCCACTGAGATTGTCCTATGCTGACTTGACAGTCTGTTTTGACGCCATTAAAGTTTCGATTACGTCATTTCGATTTCGATTACCTCACGTAATATACGCGCTTTTGTTAACTTCATTTTTTGATTTTACGTTTTTTTTAGGTTTTTTGTTGATGCATCCTAGCCATTTGACGATGTCATTTTTTGTCAAGGATATTATTTTATAGCAATTTTTATTGGTCTTCTTCTTCTTCTGCTTCTTCTTCTTATTATTATTTTTGTTCTTCTTATTTTTCTTCTTATTTTTATTATTATTATTATTATCAAGTGTGTTTGCTCGTCGCCGTCGTGGCCAGCAGAGTGACGTCATCCTTGTTTGCCGGGATTTCCAGATGAAGATGCTAGCGGCGCCAGTGTTAATATCATCTGATGGCGATGCTACTACTACTACTACTGCTACTACTACTACTACTACTACGACTACTAATACTACTACTACGGCTACTACTACTACTACTACTACTACTGCTACTACTACTACTACTACTACTGCTACTACTACTACTACTATTACTACTACTACTACTACTGCTGCTGCTGCTGCTGCTGCTGCTGCTGCTGAATAAATAAATGGATGGATGGATGGATGAATGAACGAACGAACAATTAAATGAACCATAAAAAATGAATAGAAACAGACGAACAAACACAAAAACAAGCTTACACACAGACAAAAAAAAGAGAGAAAAAGAGAAAGAGATAAAAACACAAAGTAAGAGACAGAGAGAGGAAGAGGAAGAAGAGCGGTAAAATTTGAAATCTGGTGCGCAGAAGTCAATGGTTGAATGAAAGGTGGCGCTGATAATCGTGGTCATATACGTGTCATTGAATAAGGTTAGGTCAGAATATTTTATGGCGGGAAACCACATTAAAGCTGATGATGATGACGATGGCGATGATTATAATGATGATGATGATGATTATGATGACGATGTTGATGATGATGGTGATGATGATAATGATGATGGTGGAGGTGATAACAGATGAAAATAATAAAAACCTGCATGGAGGTAATTGATGAATAGGATGAACAGCCAACAAATCATTTAATGTCACGTGATGCAACGTCATCATCATCATCATTTTAGTAGTAGTAGTAGTAGTAGTAGTAGTAGTAGTAGTAGTAGTAGTAGTAGTATAGTAGTAGTAGCAGCAGTAGTAGTGGTGACAGTAGTAGTATTACTGTAGTGTAGTAGTAGTAACTGTAGTAGTAGTAGTAGTAGTATTAGAAGTAGTTGTTGTTGTTGTAGTAGCAGCCACAATGTACTTACTACTACTATCTCTCCTACAACAGCCACACCTATCCGTGTTCTTCTATTATTCATTGCAAACATGATGAAGTGATTGTCAAGAAATAACAGATTACAAAAGAAATACTGATGGGCAAGATTAAGTTTAAAGGGGAAAAGACAGAAAAAAAGAAAACACTAATAGATAGAGAGAGAGAAAGAGAGAGAGAGAGAAAGAAGAAGAGAGAAAAAGAAGAAGAGAGAAAAACAGACAGAGAGAGAGAGAAGGAAAGAGAGAGGGAAAATCAAAGAAAGAGAAAACTCATTGCAAAAAAGGTGCGGAGAAAGAAAGATTGAAAAATTATAAAATATCGGAACGATGTTGATGCAGGCAAAAATGAAAATAAATGAAGGAAGAAAATTAAGAAAGAAAGGTGATGTAAGCAAATAGTGAGAGAGAGAGAGAGAGAGAAAAAGAGAAAGAGAGAGAATGAGTAAAAGAGAAAGAGAGAAAAAGAGAAAAAGAAACGGATATAATAAAGAAATGAAAGGGAATAAAAGAAGGAAAAGAGAAAGCCATAAAACGAATGACCATCTCGGCATCCTTAAGATAACCTCTCTCGCCTACTCTTACTATCGTCGCCATGACAACGGTGCGAAAATAAAGCACCGCAGTGAATATTAGATGAGCTAGGATTGGCTGCTTTGCTGGTCGGTTGTTCAGTTGGTTGGTTGGTCAATTGGTTGGTTGGTCAATTGGTTGGTTGGTCAATTGGTTGGTCGATCGGTTGGTCAATTGGTTGGTCAGTTGGTCAATTGGTCAGTTGGCCAGTTGGTCATGTTTATGAACGAACCAATCGAAATGTGATGGAAAATTGATGATGATTATAGTTACGATGTAAACAATGAGGGAGATAATGATGATGAAAAATAAGTGATTAATATGATAATGAAACTCAGAAAGCTTGCAACAAATAATTATAAATAAACAATAATAAAACTACTATCTTAAATCTAAAAATCTGAAACGACACGGCGAAGATGAAGATGATGACGACGACAATGACGACGACGACGATGATGACGATGATGATTTCAACAACGTGAATGTTTGAACTTTTCATTTTGAGTTATATTTTTGCTCGTCAGTGCCAAGTCGATAAGGTTTTTTTCTCTCCCAAACGTTTAAAGTCTTTTAAAAGAAGAAACTTTTTTATTTATTCATCCGTGTGTGTATAAAACGAGTATGTGTGTATTATGTGTGTATGTGTATTTATATCATGTATGCCTATATCATGTATGCCTATATATGTGTGTGTATGTGTTTACCTGCATTGTGTATGTATATGTATTAAATGTATGTAACCTTACAACCTTATATGTATATGTGTTGGCATACTTCTTTTGTATATGTATGTACAGTACACGTACATGTGTGTGTGTGTGCGCGCGTGTGTGTGTGGTGTGTGTGTGTTTGTGTGGTGTGTGTGTGTTTGTGTGGTGTGTGTGTTAAAAAATACGTGAATGTGTATATAAAATTGTATTTTATGTACATCTGATGTGATATCTAGTAAAAATGCTTAGTACCAGGATAAATACCAACATGGAAACGTATTTATGTAAGGTGGTTGTGAGGTAGGAATGGATTTAAAGTGTGTAGTGCCAGTTAGGGAAGACGACCTATGGAGATATAGCCTAGTTACTGAGATTATCGTTCGCCACAAAACCTTCAAGATTTGGTGCAGTGAAGACGTTTAAAAAAACTAAGCAAGTGGAGAAGACGATAACAATGTAAAAGAGAGAGAGAAAGAGGAGAGGAAAAGAAAAAAAGAGAAAGAAAGAGGATAGGCAAAAAAAGAGAGGAATATTATAACCTGGATTAAATATAGACTTGAAAGTTGCGAGAAATAATACAAAGAAATAAGCGTGTTATCATTTTATTGGGAGTACTCTGCAATGCGGGCAAGATGCTAGTGTTTGCGTTCGTGAGTGTGTGTGTGCCGATAAAAGTACGCATTTTCAATGGCGTATAAATGGCTGATAAAAGATTGATAACAAAGACGCTGATAAAAATGAAGGGCGGGCGTGATGACGCCGATAATGACGTGTATAACATTTTTTCCTCGCCATGGAGTGTACCATCCACGTGATGGCTAGTCACGTGTGCGTGTGTGTGTCAATCCAGTTTTCATGAGGTGTGTCAAACCAACAACTTGTATACAATTTTCTAAAGGAAATACATTCAAGAAACATAAACGAATTAAACAAGAAACATGAGAAAAAATTTAATTTAAATAAGCAAGAATCAGAATTTTTTATTCACTAAATAGAAGCTGAAAAACAAATGAATGAATAAGAAGGTAACTGGTTGATATAAATAGGAAAATAAGGAAAGAAATATATGAAAGAGATAAAAATCTTTGCTCGCAAGAGATTCCAGTGGCTTAGTCAAGACCAATGGGCAACATTTTTTTCCAGAAGTAATTTAACACGTTAATGAATGAGAGCTTAAGACCATCTCCTTTTTTTTATTTCTTCTCTCTCTCTCTTTCTCTCTCTTTTTCTCCTTTTCTCTCATCATTTTGCTTACTTTTCCATGTTTCTACTCTTCCATGTTTTTCCTTTCTTTTTTGTTTTTCTTTCCGTCTGCCTTCCAAATTTAATTTATAAAGAGAGAAAGAGTGAGAGAGAGAGATAGATAGATAGAGAGAGAGAGAGAGAGAGATAGAGAGAAACAACATATATGCAGCAAAGATGAGTTTGTGTGTGTTTGTATGTGATTAATTAACAAGGGGACATGTGGTCTTATGACGTCATACAATGACACCCCAATATAGATGAGCCGAGATCGTTCTTTTGCATGTTTGTTTAATTGTTTGTATGTCTGTTTGTATGTTTGCTCGTGTGTTTGTTTACATGTTTGTATGTCTGTTCACATGTTTGTCTGCGTGTATGTCTGTTTTGTTTGTTTTTTTGTTTGCGTGTATTTAAAAAAAGCAAAAAGCGTAATGTCGAATTGAGACAAAATGAAAAGTTACTGAAAAGTATAGTACAAAAACACAAAAATTGTGAAAGAAAACCAGAGAGCAATCGGAGGAGAAAGTGACAGAGACAATGAGGTAGAGAGGGAGAGCGCGCGCGATAGAGAAAGAAAAAGGAGAGACAAAGAAAGAAAAAAAAGAGAGATAGAGAGAGAGAAAGAGTGAAAGAGAGAGAGAAAGAGAGAGAAAGAGAGAGAGAAAGAGAGAGAAAGAGAGAGAAGAAGAACACTCGTTTGAACGAACGAAAAAATGGACAAAAATACAGAGAATAAAAATGTAATATTTATCTGCGTGTACTGACTGGAGTAGGGAGGGATGAGATAATGTAATAAAGAAAGGTCGTTAATGAATATCTGAAAATTTTATGACTGCGGTAGTTCCAATCCAGCTTCTACTAAAAACAAAAATTTTGCAATTTTGGAAAAAAGGGAATTTTTGTTATTATTTAAAAATCTGAACGCTAGTACAATTTAAATTCCTCTAAATTATTGAACATGCAGCATAATCATTTAATACATACATACATACCTGGTAGTATTTTACACACATATTTACATAAATAGTATTTAAATGCTTATGTATGTATTACTTATGTTTATGTATGTGTATTTGAGTATAGTTTGTGGTACACACAAACACACACAACACACACACACACAAACTTATATGTGACAGTGTATTTAGCATTATACATAATGTTTTTTTCTCAAACATTTTTATTTTCTTGTGTCACCATAAGAGTCCCCATTTAATTATAATGTATGCCTTAAGCGTCGGGCCGTCTTTGTATATTGAGATCTATGGCCTTTTGCCAGCCGATAAAGTAGTAAATTTTGTGAAAAATTAGTAAAAATTTGTTTGCTGTCCGTTTGTAAGAAAAATAAGAAAATGAATAATAGTTTGGTTGTTTTTAATTTCAATTTTTCAAAAATAATAATTTGGGTATTTTATTTTAGTTTTTTTTTTAGAAAAAAAAATCAGTTTGTCTTGTAATGGTTTGTTTTGAAAAAAAAAGTTTAATGGAAGCTATTCAATAAAACAGGAAGTCCCGTAATGAATGAAATATACAGAGTATTGTAAATTTCAATTTAATGAAATGAATAATAATAAAAAAAATGAACTATAAAAAGAAAAAAGAAAGAAAAACCAACATTTTTCTTCAGATAGTTCCGCAAATGATGCAACGCAGGCGTATGACGTGAGGATGACGATGACGATGATGTTGACGTTTGTGAAGAAGAGCATGGTAAACAACGGTGACATCATATTATTATTGATAACCAATCGGTAATCAATCATCAATTTAATTATTTATTTAATTATTTAATTATTCATATTCTGATGTGTTTACCTAAGGTAAACTAAGGTAAACAACATTCACTTACTATTTTATGTTTTAATTTCTCAAGTTTGATTTTTGTATAGATAAACCAAAAAATTATTTATACTTCAAATCTTCCGACTAAAGTTTCTGCAATGAACTAATTTAAGTTTAAATGTTTTAATATTAAATACGTTTTTAAATTAATATCAGCTATATCATTATACTGTAACAAAGTTGAAAGTCAATACAAAACAGCAGAACACGTTCGTCTAAAGCTGCGACCAACGAGAACAACAGACCATTCTTAAGCAGATTCAATGGATTGAAATAAAAGCTTATATATACGTACATGACTCAAATACATGTAATCGTAGGTACGTACATACATGAATACTTTAATACACTACGTGTTATATACGTGCGTATATACGTATATACGCGCATTACATATATACGTACGTACAAACGCATTCAAGTTTTTTTCTCTCCAATTGTGTGAATGGCTCCTGGCTTTTAAAAAGCCGTCAAAATCGTTAATGCTTGATCGGTCTATGAACATGTATGCATGTGAAAATGGATGCATGTGCGTGAGTTTTCTCACGTTTTGTTCCGTCCCTAATAATATATACTTACTGTGTTTTGTTTTGTGTGCGTGCGCGTGTATGTTTCTATGTCTGTGTGTGTGTGTGTGTGTGTGTGTGTGTGTGTGTGTGTGTGTGTGTGTGTGTGTGTGTGTGTGTGTGTGTGACGTAATATGCAGTGGCGTGACGTGACGCTGTGGTGGGCAATTTGATAAAAAATCAAAACCAATAGGTTAATCATTTATCAATCAATCAATTCAAAGTATAATAAAACGTGAAAAAAATAAAAAATATACAAAAAAATAGAAACAAAATTAATAAATATGAAACGAATGAAGTTGAAATATTACACCCCACATAATTCTAGGCACTTTGTGACGTTTATATGACGTCAAACATTGGAAGCACGTGATGCCAAATAAATAATGCTTGTAAACAAACGCGTTTCGTTATTGTCTATCTTTACTATAAATCACACTCGCAATAATACGTACGGTTATAAATCGTAATTTTTCAATTTTGTTTAAATCTTTTATTTTTGTTTATTTAATCTATTTGTTCATTTATTTATTTTAAATTTAATCTTTTCAAAAAATTGCTCAGTAAAATTTAGTAGGTGATGGTGAACAGCGACGGACAGCCGGACGGATCTACGCTGGTCCTTGACGCAAAAACCCAGAAAGTCTTGGACGAAATCGGATCATTCATAGATTTCTTGTTGAGGAATATCGCAGTTGTTACATTCAAGTTGTCTCATTCAGTTTCATTCATGTATACTATATACAGTTCATTCATTCACACACACTTTGAGTTCATATACACTCAAAGTTCAGATACGCTTAAAATTCATATACATTTAGAATTCTTTCCTTCATCTGAGTATGCGCTCGTTTCCGTTTGCAGTCTATTGGTTTTTGTCTGATTGTACAACTTTGGCATTGATACTATAATTATTATCGTTGGGAGTTCATTAAGATCTTTCAGTATTTTATTCTAGAGTTTGTAATCTTGGGTTTTCTGCTAATTTGTATTTGTTTATATTGTATCTACTACACAAGCGTCTCATTCAAACTTCAATCTCCACACAAATCAGGTTTAACTTTTTCTTCAAAACTCGTCTTCTGGATTTCTCAATTGCCATGATGCAGGCTGAGGAATGGTACTTCGAAGAACTAGCACAGAAGGCCGCAAAAATAAAAAAATCGAGATCGAGGAAGAAGAATCGAAGTACGGCCACACCGTCGGCAGTAGCGACAGCATCTTCAATTGAAACTCATTCATCCGTGAAGACAACTTTTGCTGGAACACTCTTCCCCTCAACCTCCTTCCCCCCAGATGCATTAGACCATTCGTTAACCATTCCAAGTTTTAAAGTTATGAATGAATTAAACGCTCGCTACCTTACTGCTAACCACCAAGCTATAAGCGAGTTGTTGGATTTGTTCGGCCGCATGAAGGGGCTTCAAATGGTGGCCGGCAATTTGATGAATCTTCTCAGCAAACGTTTCGACAAATCGGCGGAGAAGTTGGAAGACGTGAGGTATTATTTCAAGCATTGGACTGGTTTTTGCGCTAGAACTTACAACTGTCTGCATCACAAATATCCTTCTAATCAACTGCCTCCTAATCTCAGTCCGCCAGAAGTCAAGTTCATCGTGTGGCCACTTGCCGTCAGGACTGCCATCTATTGCGCTTCTCAGTTTATCAAGGTTTTGCTAATATTCTATACTTTATAAATCTTATTTTGGAGTAACTGAATTAAAAAAAATATTTGGCATGACTTAATTAGCGTTATCACATACAACAAGCATGTTGGTTGTTCTGTTCGTCCATTTTGTTCATTATCGACTTCATCTTATTGCCAGGACACCACGGAACTGGTGGGCATAAACACGGAGAAGTACAAAGTGATGCAATTTGAGAAGTTTATGACCTCAGAAGAACTCCTCACTATGAAGAACATTCTTGGATTCTTCCAGAACAAATTCTCAAACATGTTCAATCTGCTTGGCAAACCAAAAAGTTCGAACTTTAAGTGTTATAAAAAGTTACATATAAACAAATTTTTAATTTCACTAAGGCAATCTTATTTTTTTAACGTAATTTAATATATAAATTTAAAGAAAATAAATAATGTTCTTTAAAAAAAAATAAAATACCCTTTGCAGCCGTAGTCACGGATGAAAATGTTGAAATCCTGCCACCAATTGATGAAAACTTGAAAATTTTCACGGAACCCATAACGATGGACAGTAAGTGACCAGAGGGCAGAATGCAACATATGAGTGGATCAGTTTCACTTAAATGATAATCACTGCGACAACTTAAGTTATTATTATAATAATTTAAATAAATAATAATATTAAATAATTATTAAAATGGCAGCCATATTGTTGAACTTTCCGCACGAGATACCGTCAGATGTTCCTGTAAAAAAGACTAAAAACTCCGCTGGATTGAAGAAAAGAAGAAAAAATGACAAAAATATTTATTCCGTATAAATCCGGATGGTATCCTTGTATTTCCTTTTGGAATACTGGGAAAATGCTTTTATTTTATTTATCATTTATTTGTTTTAGTTACTTATTCCGCTGTAAACAAGTACGATATGAAGCAGTTCGTTTTATTTTAAGTTAAGAAATTTGCCTGTTAAATTTTGAATATAATGAAGAGATGACAGAAAAATTCATCACATTCAAACTGGAATTGTGATACGATACGATACCTCGCAAGTATTTTTTCGCGCTATTTAATCAACTAAATTTAATTCGGCTTGAAAATTATTAAGACTATAAAATCTTGCAAAATCGTTACCTATATGTTTTTTATTAACTTTGTTTTCATGTCAGAAATAAAAAAACAAATTTTGTAAAAAATAAACTTCTCTGATTTTAAGAAATGGTTTTTTTTTTCTTTTCACCCGCTCACAATCAATAAATCATTTAGAGATATTTTTGATAAAGTTTGATAGATAGTTAACCAAATTTATAGTTAACTAAGTTTTAGATAGTTAATTAAATTTTAGTTCGCTTAATTGATAAACCAAGTCTTTAATTTTAATTTAATTAAAATTTAATACGGTTTAATTCTATAATAATTATTTTTTTCTATCAAAATTGGGTAACAATCTCAAATGACACTCAATTCACAGACAGTTCATTTCACGCTGAGACGCCAGCGAACAACCATCTTCCTGAACATTGACGAGGAGAAGACCATCCTGGAGTTGAAGCAGCTGATATCGAAAGCTATCAAACTCGCGCCCGAAAAATTCAAACTCTACAGAGAGAACATGGTAGGTAAGACTTACAGTAGATTAATAAATCAGTAAATGTTTGTAGATCGTAGTGAATAATTAAATGAATTTATACAACTTTGTCACAATTTTGTAACGAATACTCGTGTAATTTGGGAACTGAATGTATTTGTGAATGGCCATAAATTTTATATCATGAACCATGAGTTTAATCGCTCGCACTTTGCGTCAATAACATCCTTTGCCAGTCAAGCGATGAAAAATTAGAACCTCAACACAGGATGAAATGTAGTTAATTTACAATATTCAACAAATAAAATTGCAGTTGTGGTTAGACAAAGGGCTGGGAGAGATGAAGAAAAAGTTGAAAGCGGTTGGTTACAGCGGCGGGTCCACGAGACCAGACGAACCTGCCATCCTATACCTCTGCTTCCTCACCGGCTACAACAGACAGGGAAGTACGTAGGCTGCTTACTTTTTATCTATCTTAAATTGCTGATCCTATAAACCACGGGCAGAGCTTCCCATGATGCGAATGAATGAGATTGATATGAATGGTTATGCTAGGTTATGAGCTAATGATTAAAAAGAACATTGTACAGGCGTTTCGAGAAATGGACAGCTACATAAAGTTACTGATAGATATCTAAAGAAATGAGCGTGTGTACATGAAACGCTTAAATGATATAGCGCCATTTTACAAAAAACTCTCCTCATCAACAAATCTACCCACACAATGAAATCAGTCAGAATACTGCCTAAAATCCACCCAGGTATAAAACATGCGGGCTTCTGAAATCATCTTATGAGAAGCACTGTACAATAAATTCAGTAATAAAATTCAGTACACGAAATATAATACAATGCAAGCCCACAACACATCACAACGCCAAACAATACAATACAACACAACACGTACATACGGAAATACACAGGAGCCGTTTACGAAAGTGTGGATGTTGTGCCGTACAGCCTACCAAGGCAGTCCCGTGCGGCGGCAAGCAGTGTAATATCCCAATCTAACAAATCCGTTCCCAAATAGCCAACAATTACTACTAATAAATACTAATTAGTAATTTTAGTGATCACCAGAGGCATCAGTAACCAGCGTTCAATTAATTAATTTGAAAATGATAGTTTTAAGAAAAATATAGACATCGATCGAACGGATCTCAAGTATATCTGCATATAGTGAGTTGTGTTATTTTAAAACGATTTTTTTTCAGAATTAATATTTAAACATAGTTCCAAATAGTATTTCAAGAAAAAATGTTCATGTTTCCATGATTTTGAAAAGTCTTCATAAGATGAAATGAACGAACGAACAAGCGCACGAACGGACGGACGAACGAACGAACGATAGGACGGACGAACGAACGACTGATAAAACCACAAATTGTTTTTTATTAACAACAAATTTTATTTATAATGCAAAACCAACAAAACTGAACAATGATTGTCGAATTGCTGGCTTCTTTGTATCATAAAATTAAAAAAAAAACAATTAAGTAAATAAACAAAGAAAATTTTTTATAAAAACTTTAAAAAAGAGTTTAATTAAAAAATAATCAACAGGATTTTTATAAAAGGCACCGAAAACACGATGAATTAAAATTGACATAAGAGAGCAAGTGAAGATGAACCTGCAAAAAAAGGCACTATGCACTATATATATATATATATATATATTTAACCCTATATATACAAAACATATACAAAAATATACAACAGTATACAAACATATACAAGAATATACACCAAATGCTAACATATACAAACATATACAAAACAAAGCTGAATATACTCATATACAAAAATATACAAAGACATGATTATACAAACATATACAAACCTATACAAAACATATACAAATAAAAAAAACCTATACTAAACGTTCACGTGAACATACACATATACTAAAAAATTATGCAAACATATACTAAAAAATACAAACCAATGTTTATATGAATTTTAATGCAAACACACACACACAAACACACACGAATAAATATATTTGTCATAATAATTGTTATAAATTAAATATAACATAATAATACAGAAAACCAATTTGGTGCGTGTTCTAAAAACAAAACACTGGTCAAAAATGCAAATAATAATAACAATAGAGAAAAAAACTAACAAAAATGAACAATAAATTAAAAAGTAATTGTGTGGAAAATAATATATATAACAAAGTGTTTTTTTTGTGTTTATAAATCGCAATCACATACACACACATTCAAATACATAGACACACAGTCTCACATACAAGCAAACAACCTATACACTACACATCGCATACATGTAAACACTTACACACAAAAACGCACGCACACAAACACACAAACAAACAAAACAAACACACATACCATAAGATATCTCAGTGCATTTGTTAGCAGAGATGTGATTCTATAAGTTAAAAAAACTAACAAATTAGTCTAAAAACTACAACTTCATTTTGAAATACTAGCTATCAATGAATGGTTGTGTGTATGTTTGTATATGTATGTATGTATGTGTATTTGTATGTATACGTGTGTTGGTTGCATCTATATACACAAATTTACAACAGCGTCATACACAGTAAACTTTGTTTGTAATAAAATTATTAATCGATTAATTAGCAATTAAATTAAATTAATTAACTAATTAACTAACTAATGATCAATTAAAAACTAATAATCCCGTGATAGTCGTCTTGTTAAAACTATCTGTACAATTCCTCAGCAATGACAACAGAGGCTTTTTACTGTTGTTGTTGTTGTTGTTAATGCTGTTGTTGTTATTGTCATTAATGTTGTTGTTGATGCTGTGTATGCACGTATCACAGCCGGTATCATCTTCATCTTTTTCTTCATCATCATCCTCATCAACTTCACCTTCTTCTTCACCTTCTTCTTCATCATCATCTTCATCATCATCATCTTCTTCTTCATCTTCGTCTTCGCCTTCACCTTCGTCATCGTCTTCGTCAACATCCTCCCCATCACCTTCATCTTCCTCATCATCTTTTAGATTGCGTCAACTTCCTATACTGATCAATGTGCTCCCACAGCTTATAAACATCTCCAAATCTGGATATAAAGTGAAAATTTTTCTAATGTTGGGTGGGCGGTGAACATTTTTCTAATGTTAAATACAGAGTTGCAGCGAGTCACGTACATCAATCATTACGAATTCGCTGGCAAGCGCTGAATTTTTAATAATATTTCAATTGACAAGCCAGAAAAACTTCTCAAAAAAGTCGATAGTGACAAACAGACAGACAGACAAATCAGATGGAGAGAACAATTAAACAGACAGATACACAGAAAAACAAACAGATAGAATATAGACAGACAAACAGACTACTGATACTCAAATAGACAGATAAATACTAAGTAAGAGGACATCTTAATTTATGAAGGAACAAAAAAAACTAAAGATCCCTGAAAACAATTTAGAATAAACTCAGTTGAAATAAGAACGAGATAATAGAAAGGTTATAACAACTTGATGTTGAGCATTTTGAGATCGTCCAGGACAACGATGTCCAGTAGATGGCTCAACTCAAATCCTTCGGAAAGAATCTGTAGGTCAATTAGTCCTAACTCAATTAACTGAAATTAATTGACCGGGAATTAATTGATAGGAGTCTAATTAATAATCAATAAATCAATCGATCGATCGATCAATCACGAAACTAAATAAAATATTAATCAAACACAGGCAAGAATTAAAACATTAATAATCAATTCAATCGAACCTTAAAAAATATAGCGAAAAATAGGTTGGTGCGATGCAATGGTGTAGTGGTTAAGGTGTATGACACTGCTGTCTCAGTGCCTGGGTTCGACTACAAAAAGATCCTAGCCTAACACGTGCGAGTATTTAGGTATTTGCATGCACTGCGTGTTTTGATGTTGGCCCCCCTAAGAAATACCCAGCTAAATGGCAAATTGTACAGAAATACCTTATTGATAGTATCATTTGAGATGTGGATTTCCGTCAGCCAATTTTTCAACTTATCGTTTCTCGCCATTCTGTTGGGCACTTGAAAAAAAGAAATTAAATAAAAAATTCCATACAAGATAACATATTATAATTATTTGGTGACTTAGTTAACTGATATGTTAATTAGTAGGTAGCATAATTACTACTGATAATATAATTAGTAGCGGTGTAATTATCATATATTAGCACGAAACTCGGAATTATTCCGCCTTACAATTAAAAATTAAACGGGCTAACAAAAAAGTCCAGGGGTCGAAAGATAACGAAGGGAAGAAGAAAGATTTTTAAAATTAATTTCAAACATTTAGGCAATAAAAACAAGCTTAAACGAGTGTGTCACAGATGCATTACATATGAATGAATGTGTAAGAAAGAACTGCCGGAGTTAGAGGTTAAAGACTACCAGGCGAATTAACAATACACTGGATGTTTGTTTATTGCTGACTGCTACCTATAATAAGTACTGAAGAGGAAATTACAAAACACGAAAAAAAAGTAAAATGTGTAAAACATGTGAGAAGCAGCATTTGAAGAGCAAGCAAGCAACTGACCAATGAGCTGCTGAACGAGGGACTCATTGTCGGATTCGGATGAATGCATGGAGACGGACATGGAGTCACCCCTACTCTCTCGAGTTGGTTCTTTCATCAAAGATTCCCTGGATGGTAGACAACGTTTCAGATTTCAAGCAAGATGAAACATTTTTTTTCTATTTATAACAAATTCATTTGAAATTATCTAAATTCATTCAAGCATCTTGAAGTTTATCCGAAATAAACTGATAAACGATCCCTCTGAACCCAAGAAGAGTTTAATAGACCTTTAACCTTTAACCTCTATTCAAAATAATCTAGAAACTTTTTCAAGATTATAAACTTTTTATGGAAAAAAAAACAAAGTTTACAAAAATAAAAATAATAAAGAGATAGTGAGTAGGAACCTCATGATGCTTATATGTGCATTGATAGAATCAATACTCTGGCATAACATCTGCCTGCAGAACTGCTGGCTCTTGATCAAATGCTGGAGTAAGCTGAGTTGGAAGGGGTCATAAGGTACCATCTCATATACATTATCAATTCAATTGTAAATTTTGTTTATTTTAAGAAAACAAACTAAATAAAAGGTTAAAATCAAGTAGACAAATGAATAAATATTGACTGAGGTTTTTATTACGATACATTTACTATAAGAAAGCATTTTATCACAAATGATATATTTTCAACAATAATTATCAAATATGCCAAAGTGCTCATTTAAAACTAACATACCATACCGTGCATACAATTTGCATACACGATACAAACCTACTTACATACGAAATATATTAGTTTAACTTCAATTCCCCACTCTACAACAACACAAAACTAATATTTATAATATGTATGGAGAGAAACAAGGCATATTCCACGCAAAATTGGATTCTTCTTGCATTTGAATCCGGTCATCTCGCGCTTGTGCAACTGTTTAGGACGAGCAAATGTACCAGAAAACCAAACGTCCCACCATATAGATACAAGATAATTATAAGATGATTATTATTATTATGATTATTACATTGATGTATGCATGTGAGGCTTGGACGTTGAAGAAAAGAGACAAAGACAAACTGGAAGCATTCGAGATGCATTGTTATAGAAAGTTGCTGGGAATCAGTTGGAGACAAAAGATAAGAAACGATGCCATAAGAAAACAACTTTGAAGACAAAAAACTGTGTATGAAAGTGTCAAGGAAAGAAAGCTGTGTATCTTTGGGCACATCTGCAGAATGACAGACGACAGACTGATCTAAAAAGTACTGATGAGAAAGAGGGACTGGAAGAAAAAAGTTGGAAGACCTGTGAGGAAGTGGATGGATGATATCACGGAATGGACGGGGGTTGGAACATTGGGTTCAATGAAGATGGCGAGGGAAAGAAAAGGATTTTGGAGAGATAGAAAAATACCATCGGCCTCAACGGTCCCTTAAGGGATTACAGAGGATTATTGAATGAATGAATGAATGAATAATTATAAGATACCGCAATTATAATGTAAATGTCGATACGCGCGCATATAATAGTGAAATACCACAACAAAAAAACCTGTTGTTTTCCTCTTTAAGTTGGTGTATTTGTTGCTGGTATCGCTGCTCCGAGCTGATGTTGGCCACCTCGCTGGGAGATAAACAGGAGATGAGGTCGTCATCAGTGTACGTCACATCTCCGTCATAGGCCGCGTTCCTTGCTTGGTTGCGTCAAATAGAGGTCGTTTGGTCGTTTATGGCGAATATAAATATACAAAGTATGTGCGTGCTCACAAACACACGAAACAAATATACAAACAAACATACATACATACAAACAAACAAACACACGAAACAAATATACAAACATACATACATACAAACAAACAAACATACAACGCAAACATACAAGATAAACATACAAACAAACATACAAGACAAACAAACAAACCAGGTGATAATACAGAGACAGCAGCCTTGATTGTCGACTTGATGATGTTGTCCAATGCAAATATCCAGTGGGGCTCTATCTTACGTTCTCTCAATATCTCGTTCATCTGTGTGTGTATATGTGTGTTCATGCGTGCGTGCATGCGTGCGTGTGTGTGTGTGTGTGTGTGTACAATACATAAAATCTGTGCACGCAAACGTACGTGTGTATGTGTGTGTATGTGTATCTCTGTGGTAGTGAGTGCGTGCGTCTTAAAATCTTAGCATATTTGTTTGTGAATTTTACTTCATGTTTGCTGTATTGACAGATTTTTAGTTGTGATGAAATACCACTGCCATATGATAATAAATAAAAAGTATAATAATAATAATAATAATAATAATAATAATAATAATAATAATAATAATAATCAAGAATAGTAAAAATAATACGACGATAGAAAACACTGACGATATTTTGAAAGATGAAGATGGCGTATGAGAGTTCGGTCTTGGCAGTTTTGTCAGGGTCTGGATCTATTTCGGTGTTCAGCTGGTCTGTCGTTGCGGTTGTCCGATTGTTAATCATTTGGTAATTATTTCAAATTATTAAATACCATACGAAGAGATGAACTCTCACACACACACACACACGCACACACACACGCACACACACACGCACGCACACACGACGATGCTGGCATGACAATACTATCCAACATGCAACACCTAGCAAGTACTAACTGACGACGACTCTGAGGTCGTTGATGTCATCTCTGTTGATGTAATCTCCAAACGAAGACAACAGCTTCAACAAATGGTCCTACGGTTTTAAACATTGACGATTTCAAAAGGGCATTTAATACATTAAACACATTGAGACACATTCGAAATCAACATCAACATGTGATGACGTCTCAAATGGCTTCCAATGCACAGTAAAAGATACACTGTATTGATCACAGAAGATAATTATTATATTGGATAGGTACACATTGAATGACAGTAGCATCAATTAAAAATGAAACCTTACAAACAGATCATATCGAATAAAATATCAATACACACACAACACACGCACACACAAACACACACGCACGCACACACAAACACACACGCACGCACACACAAACACACACATAATACATATGCATACCCACCTTGTTGATTCTGAGCGTGGCCGCACAAGATGCTGAATGTAACTGTGACAGCCACCTCTCACTGATCTGAAGTGAAATTTGAAAATTTTAAGAATTTAAAAGTTAACTTACATAGGGTTTATAGCTAAAAAATAATTTGACTTAACAAGATCTGCTAAACAAATCTAAACTAGAACTGCTTACAAATCACTTTCTACATATTTAGTCCCAAACAAAACTAAGACACACCCCTCAACACACTCAAATGAGATAGATTTACATTGATATTGTCATTACTATTGTCGACATTTATATAGCGCCAATTATAATTCAGAATTCACATTGGCATGTATTGTATTGTATTGTAAAATTTGTATAGCGCTTCTTATGAGTTTACTTCAGAAGTGCTCTCTTTATTTCTTTCACTGCGATGTATATATATAGGTTGGAAAGAAAACAGAAGAGCCCCATATAAACAACCTTGTCCGCGTCGGATTTGAGAACAGTTACTAGTTCATTCCTCTTCTCGTAATCCTTCTTAACCCAGTAGAACGCAGTGTTGTTGTCGCGGCTGTTGCCGCTTCCATCACCACCGTACGCTGTGTCTTGTATGTCGGAGAGCATCGATGAACTGTCACTGCTGTTGTGTTGTGTGCGTGTGTTTGCGTGTGTGTGTATGCGCGTGTGTGTGTTTGTGTCTGTATGTGAGAGAGAAAGAGAGAAAGAGAAAGAGAGAGAGAGAGAGAGAGAGAATGTTAGTGAACGCGTCGGTGTGATGATCATCTAACGAAATGAAAAAATTTGGTCAAAAAACTGATAGATAGATATGGATAGATGATCAATGAAAAGTTGGCAAAGTTACGATCAAACATTAATAAATCTATATTTTGAAAAAAAACTCAATAAATGAACGATACCATTCGGGTAAGGAAAAAAAACTTTATCATCTACAACGAAAATGAACCATTTGTGAAAAAAGTCCAATAGAACGGACATGAAGATGACAAAATACACATACATACATAGGTCCTACATACAATTGAACTGTTAAATCTCTTTAACTATAAATAACACTTCGTAACAATCCAAATAAAAAATAAAATATTACAGAACGAAGTCTGTAAGTGAAATTTTAAAGAAAAAATTTCCAAATTATTTTACAAAAATCACGCAGACGAAATGATATACCCGCCCCGCCAATCAATGATAAAATATTTAAAAAAAAATAATTAATTACATATTAACCTTAACAGGTAATAAATAAAACTTATACGATTTCATATTTAGAATCAGTAAATTAGCATAAGCAGGTACAACGGTATTAATTAAAATTAAACACCAAACACATTGAACTGCTGGAATTACTCGCCATTGCTAATCACTAATTACTACTATCCAATTAAAGTTAGTAAACTAATTAATTGTATTAATTCAAAGACACAAAAAAATTAAATAATTTCTGTAAATTTCATAAAATATATTATATAAAAACCAAATGGAAACCATGCCTTAATAGAGCTACGCTTGGAATTTTGAAATGTTCGTTTTACATTATCATAAAGAAAGCCAAGCTAAATTAATGCATAACAAACAAACGAACGAACGAACGAGCAAACCAACAAACAAACAAACATTACATATATACAACATCATTTTCATACAAAAAACACATTATAGATGCAACAACAACTACGGCGACAACAATACCTACGCAACAAAACCAAAAACCCCAAACTTCAAATCATGAAAATAAAATAGTTCTACGAGGAACAGACATGACATGACAAAAAACGACATCGCCTAGCCAAACTATGTTAATAAACAGCCTCTATCATCATTAACAATGAAGTACAGTAACAAATAATGCAAACAACACATCGACTTAACTAAATTAGGTCAAGACATGACCTAATTTTAATAAAGTATAGCATCAAGCAATAATAACATCAGCAGCAAACAATGCAACTCTCAGGTAAATTTGTTGGTTATACATATTTGTATTTTCTTTTGCCCATGCATGTTTCATATACGTTTGTATATCTTTGTATTTGTATGTATGTTTGTATATGCATGTGTGTATGTATATTGTTTGTATATATGGTATATGTATGTATGTACGTTTGCATATCTTTGTATTTGAACGTATGTATGTATGCTTGTCTATGTATATGTGTATGAATAATTTTTATAGATATTGTGTGTGTGTGTAAGTGTGTTTGTGCGTGTGTGTGTGTGTGTAAGTGTGTGTGTGGTGTGTGTGTGTGTACCTGTTAAGCCGCCCAAACACATCCTCATTGGGATGGTTGAGATTTGGAAAGATTTCAGATACGGGTCGTGGTCTCTTTACCGTGTGCCTCGTCCTGGCATGATCATCATCGTCATCCTCATCATCATCATCATCATTTTAACTATTATCATAATCATCGTCATCACGTTCAACATCACCATCACTATCACTATCATCATCACTATCATCATCATCATCATCATAATCATAATCATCATCATCATCATCATGAATGTCATCATCCTATTCATCTGCCACATGATACTGAGAACGGTAATCATCACTTTTATCATCACCAAAAAATGTCGTCATAATGGGTAAATTTTACGCCACACTTTTGAAGCAGGCGACATCTTTTCAAAGCCACCAGACACCAGCTAGTATTCGAGCTACTAACTATTTAAAATAACCGAGGTAACTGCTATGGCAAGATGTCAATCAGACGGAGATAGTACTAATTAAGATTAGACATATTCATTTACTTAAGTACCTCTAAATGTGTGTGCCACTAAAAGAATATGATGATAAACACGTATATAGTACACTACTGCAATGTGATGTTCCAAGAAAAACCTAAAACTGATCGCCGATATTTCTGTTATTTCTTAAGAATCTGGCGGTATGGGATCGTAGGCTGCTGGTTTAGAATTAAATACATAGCAATATGCGTATTAAAATGTGTAATTAGTAATTATCTCTATTTAATTATTAATTAATAATTATTGTAATTCAGATAGCTACATTGTTATGCTAGAACAATAATGAACATGCGACTGCTAGTCAGACTAACTCTAAAATACAAATAAAAAAAACTCACACACATACACTAAAATTACATGCATAATTGCAAGGTATGCTGGAGAATCATTAAAAAAATATTTCATAAAAAGGAGCCTTATCAACAAAATTGCCTATGTATCAACAAAGAATCATAAAAAATGCAAATGTGTAAGAATTGATTTGGTCAAATAATAAATTATACTAATATGAAACATTTGATTGTGTGTATCTGCTGAAAATTTGATACAAATGTAATGGCATATGAAATAAAAAAAAAAGAATTGTCTCTAGATTTAACAGATATAAAAAACAAAAGTTATTTTAAAAGACCTGATTATTTCACAATAGATTACATACAATGTAACAAAGACACTTATCAAAATGTTACACGCAATGTAACAATGTAACATTTGCCATTAAAAAAAAAAGTGGTTGAATATACAACTGGAATACTAGGACAAGCTATTTACTTACGAAAAAAATTTTAGAAAAAAAAATTACTAAGAAATCCTGTGACAAAACCGGGAAAATAATTTTTTTTCATTAATATGGAATGGTAAATAAAGAAAAATCAAATCATGATCACTAAGATAGAAGTCACCTTAAACACTTTAATCATCATAGCCACACATGCATTCACACCTTTACACACACACACCACACACATATACGTTATATACATTTACATATAATGCATACACACATATAGATACACGCACATATAAATACATACACAAATATAAATACATACACACACATACACACACACACACACATACATACATACAACACACGCGTGTACACTTACATATTGAGATGTACAGACTCTTGTATCTGACTTGTACTAACAACAGCCGTCTTTCTCCTTGTCGGATCTTTCAGCTCTGAGTTTGCATGCACTGGAACTGGATAATAATAATAATAATAATAATAATAATAATAATAATAATAATAACAACAACAATAATAATAATAATAATAGTGTAAAAATAAGTTGTCAAAAATGAAAGGCAACCAAACGAACTCACCAAAATGCCAACTTCTAAACAAACCAACATAAGCCAACAAATGAGTAGATAAGCAAATATATAAAGATAGACACGCAATTACATACAAACAAACAAACAGACAGAAAGACATACAAACACAAACAAACATACCAGACATGCTCCTATCCATGTTCTTTTGTAACTGGTGCTTGTGCTTTTTTGTTGGAACTTTGCTGGGATAGATACAAAATAAATAAATAATATTTATTTATTTACTAATTTAAAATTTCTAAAAAAAATACAAAAAATTAATTTTTTTTAATAAAACGTCGAAGAATTATAAACAAAATGCAGGTAAAACGCTGAAGAATAACTCACTCGTACATAACTTTTCAATAACTACTTCACCCCTGCTAATATTATTACAACTTCAAGACTTCAAAAAATCTCTAAAAAAAAATCAAACTAAACTATTTATAACAAACTTTTAAATTTATAAACTTTGTTTGATTATAAATTTAACTATATATAAAAAATTTGAAAAATTCCATCCGACTGACCATCAATGAAAATAAGTGCATAAAAGTAGCAGCTGAGATCAGAATAACATCAATTTATATACCAACCATGATTAACACAAGGTAGGCAACTACGTTGCATTTTTCATATATAAAACATAATTACAGTTAATATACACATATAAAAACGCACACGCATACACACACACACACATACATACACACATATATATATATATATCACATAACTGTGGCAAATATGATCACAATTTTCTCTCAAACAATTAGACTGGCAGAAAAGTAATCATATAGGGTAGACTGGGATGATAAAGCACTGCAGTGACATATAATTGCTGGCAAATAAAATATAATTAAATGAAATAGATATGAAATGACGGATGGGTGGATGAAAAAGTAAATGAATGAATGGATTGATGAATAAATGAATGAAAGAATGAATGAATAAACGAACAAACGAACGAACGAACGAACGAACGAACGAATGAATGAATTAATGAATTAATGAATGAATGAATGAATGAATGAATGAATGAATGAATGAATGAATGAATGAATGAATGAATGAATGAATGAATGAATGAATGAATGAATGAATGAATGAATGAATGAAAAGATGACGGCAGAATATGATAAACAAAGAGAGAGATGGATAAACTGATGAAAGCATGAATGAATGAATGATATTGAACGTATGAACGAATATATGATATCTTTAAAAATGGCCAAAACATTAAAAATACAATCACCAGAACATTCCATCCACTCATCCATCCATCAACCAATAGACAGAGATGGTTTATAAATCCCTCTTCACAAAGATCAACTACTTAATCAAACAAAAAACAAGGTCATTGAATACTTTTTAGCATAATGTTACGCTTTTTGCTGAGGGGCCAACAAACGAATGATAATTAAGAAAATAATTAAATATGAAAATCATTTGTGGAAAGCCAAACGAAAGCCTGAATCACATTGAAAAGTAACATTTCCGTCACTAGATCTTGTTTTAAGAATCAACTGTGCTTACGAACTAAACAAAAATCATTTCATTTAAAATCAGTCTCATCCAATTAGCAATCACTGATATTCACTAGATAGTGAAATACCTCGATTAAATTGTTCAGTAAATCAATTAATTAATCAATCAATTAATTAATTAATTCACATATAACTAACGAAGAATTAACAATTGATCATAATTATAAAAGGCTGCTTAATTGATCGTTTCGAAACGGTACAACGCTAAAATTTAGCCGCAAAAATTACATAGCAACACACCTCTCTGGCATTATAGATTCGATAATCTTTTGAGAGCCGATACCCCTAAATAAGTTAACATCATCGTTGCATTGTAAATATAAAAAATTTGTATGTTTTAAGCTGTTGCATGGAGGAAATTATCTGTGTATGGAGTAGGAACGAATGGGCTGGCTAGAGTGATTGTACAGAGGAAAAATATTTTTTTTTTTGGGTAGCTAAATAAACTTTGTGAGATAAAAATCTAGTTTAGGAACTTTTGAAATGTATGAAGTGGAAAAAATAATACTGAGACCTCGCAATCAGAATTTCTGAAAAACAAAAGCAAATTAAAAAGAAACAACTAGCCAACAATACAAACTAGATCTGACGGTGGCCAGTGGTGAGTGGCAAACAGTCAACAAACAGCAGAAATGAAGTAATGAAGTTTATAAGGAACAAACAAAAAAAAAGAAAATATGCAAGGATACAATCAGAGTGAACATACAAAAATATACAAACAAACAACAAACAAACATACATACATACAAACAAACATACAAACAAATAAACAAACAAAAAAGACATACAAACAACATAAAAAATAAACAAACAACAAACGTACCTGCATAAAAATGGATGCTGCAATAGTTCTCCTGCAGATGATCTTCTCGACGGGTCCAATTCAAAACAACTGGTGTGGTGATGATGATGAAGATGATGATGAAGATGACATGATGAAGATGATGATGAAAATGACGAAGATGATGAAGAAGATGATGAAGAAGATGACGAAGAAGAAGATGATGATGATAAAGAAGATGATGATGAAGAAGATGATGATGATGAAAGAAGATGATGAAGAAGATGATGATGATAAAGAAGATGATGATGAAGAAGATGATGATGATGAAAGGTCGTCCGAGATTTGTTAACACAATATGGGTTTAATTACCATTCATTGGAAAACGCTTTCACTAATATATAAAGTTGTGGTTGTTAGTTTTTTTAATGGAGTTTCAAAGTATTTTTTTGAGTTTGCAAATAAACGAATTTTAATAGAAAAAAAAATAATGAAAAAATCTACCCAAAATAATCCGAATTAAAGAAAGAAATAAAAAAACATAAAGCCCATTAACGTGAATCATCGTCATTAATCACGGCCACAATTCATCACAACTCATCACAAATAATCCTAATTGATCACAATCAGCCACAGAAAACCCAAAATATTTATTATAACTAATCATATTTAAAATAATTATATATAAAAATGTGTAACTATACAGGCAAACCATTGAAGAAAGTTCTTAGCGTTATCTGAGAGATGGCTTGGTATGGAGGGCTTGACGGGTTTTTTGTTGTTGTTGGACAACGCCTGTGGAGTCCAGAAACTCGAGTTCTCCTTTGGTTGTGTGTGTGTGTGTGATGTGTGAAAATTTTCTTACAATAAAACGTAAAACATTTTATCACTCCTAACTATATCACCTGTACAAGATGATGATGATGAAGATGATGAAGATGATGATGAAGATGATGATGAAGATGATGGTGAAGATAATGATGAAGATGATGGTGAAGATGATGGTGAAAATGATGATGAAGACGATGATGTAGATGATGAAGAAGACAAATTAGTGACTTAATATTACAGTTACGCCAACAAGAACAGCAATAGCGTTTAAAAAATTGCAATCAAAAGGCATATAGACAGACCGGTTGCATTCCTGTGAACATCTCGATGACGGTACATCCAACCGCCCAAATGTCCGCCTGTTGTGGTGGAATATTCTCAATTTACGATTCTATTTTAATTTAATCCTCAAAGGTATCAACAACAAAGCTGATTGATGATATCGATAATATGATATGATAAGATGATATGATATGATATGATATGATAAGATGATATGATATGATAAGATGATATGATATGATAAGATGATATGATAAGATGATTCGAAATAAATAAACACCTATCATAGTATCTCGTACCAGATTGATGATTTCAATGGTAACTTAGAAACCTCAAAAAAGTATCAACTACGAAACTAATGATATCAATAGTATCCACCGCAAAATTAATGTGGATAGATAGTATCATCACCGACAAAATGAATAAATTTAAAACCAATAAATTTAAACCAACAGCATATCCATATCCTCTTTTTCCTCTGTCTGCCACTTCCGGAGCGAGGAAAGCACACATACCTGATGACGATAATGGTGATGATGTTGATGATGATCATGATGATTAGTAACATCATCACCAGCACCCCCATCATCGTCGTCGTCGTCGTCGTCCTCACCTTCCTGGCCGACTGGATTGAGATCAGAGAGTTTCTTGGACATGCCAAAATCGGTGATTTTGAGGACATTGTTGTGCGTGTTGATGAGCATGTTCTCGCCTCTGATGTCTCTGTGCACTATCATGTTCTCGTGCTGCAATGTGTGCGTGTGTGTGTTTGTCTGTTTGTGTGTTTGTTTGTTTGTGTGTGTGTGTGTTTGTTTGTTTGTTTGTTTGTTCGAATGAAAGCAAACAGCACGAGATAGACGTACGAGATACTTGAGGCCCAGAAGCATCTGCGTCGTGTAGTCGGCTATCTTTGATTCATCCTCCTTCAACATGCCCCACTTGGACATGGTGGCTAGACTGCCTGGTAGGTTTGCAGAATGGTGATCATGGTTAGGCGATGGTGAAGATGTGCCGTCGTTGGTGAGGATAATAATGATGACGACATTGTGAGTGTGTGTGTGTTGTGTGTGTGTGTGTGTGTGTGTGTGTGTGTGTGTGTGTGTGTGTGTGTGTGTGTGTGTGTGGTGTGTGTACCAAGTGTATCGATCAAGATGAATAATTCTTTACTTGATAAAGAACTGTGATTGCTCTAGCTAAGATTGTTATAAAACTGTTATAAAGACGACAACAACGTCATTACCATCACCATTATCATCAACATCATCATCACCATTATCACAATCATCATCACCATCATCATCATCATCATCATCATCACCACCATCACCACCATCATCATCCTCATCATCATCACCATCACCACCATTATCATCATCACCATCATCATCATCATCGTCATCATCATCGTCATCATCATCAACAACAACAACACCCTCCCCTAGAACACTACCTCCAGGAACTTGCTCCATGAATATCTTAACGTAGCCATCCTCACTGACGGAGCCGAGGTACTGGATGATGTTGTTGTGACGTAATCGTGAGTGTAGGGCGATTTCTTCGTGCAGGGCTTGCACCTCCCTGGTCATTTGTGTTGTTGTTGTTATCATTATTA